TCAGGCTATCAAAAGCAGAACCGTGCCTTCCGTAGCTCAATCATTGTCATGCAGGACGACGCTTGATTCCGCGCTGCAAAAAAATACAGTTGAAGCTCCAGCTGCCATGAGGAGAAAGAGAGAAAAACATCTAGTGTGGCCACCGCTGTCCCCTGAGCCCAAACCGACTGAGAACTCGTGTGTGGGAGGCATCTGTCCAACATTGGTTCCGTTCAATAAAAGGCCAATGATTGGCGACGCCAGTGTGATCGTTGATGCTCAAAATGCGCTGTATCGCCGGTACCTAGACGAGAGAGCACAGTTGGTAGTGGGAGGCTTCGTGGTGGGCAAACGCCATGACGTTATCAACAAACCCCACTCATGTTTGAAGCCATCGATCCGAAATGCGTGCCGTAGGGTTGCGGACCTGCCGCGTGGGCGCCGTAAATCGGCTTTTTTCAGTTTTCCACTTGCTCTTCCGAGCGGGACTTGGGACTTGGGAAGCAGGATCAGGTGGCGCCATGGAAGCATTCCGAGGTATTCCGTCCTCACGGATTTGGATTTGTGTCTGATTTCAGTCGGGCGCTATCGGGTAGTGGTCGGCGACGTTAGCGGGCTTGCGCCAGCGCCGAAGCGGAATCGGAATTTGCGACTGTCCTTTTGCTTTCCAAAAGAACGACGGCGTAGCCAGATTGAATTGGTCGCCGCGGCAGTCAGTCCGGACTCCTGACCGCGGTCAAAGGTCAAAGGTCTTCGAAAAGAGCAACGGTGGAGCAGTTGTGGTCCGCTCCAAAGGTATTCCAGAAGAATCGTGTTGCATTGACAGGCAAACATGCAGTCCTGACATCATAAAGGACGCAATACTTTGCGTCCATCCCGACCCGTCTTCTCTTCAAATGGCAAGTCGACCCGCCATTTATGCCGGATGAGAAAAATGCGAACACGTACGGCGACCGATTGCTCTCTCGGCTCGTTTTCCCCAAGTGGAAAGTTCACAGGCGTCCGTTTTACGAGGAAGAATGATCGAGGTCGTCTTTTGCTGTTCCCCTTTCCCGGTTTTTATTTGCTGTGCGGGGGGGTACGGGGGTAGGCGGGGCTTGTGAGAAGCGGGCGAGAGCAATGTTGACCTAAATGTGGCTCTCATTAAGATGGCCTGCACACGAGGCTTGCAGCGGGGCATACAAGCCCCCCCAGGCCTCTCCCCCCCGCCCCCACACTTTCATCCTTCTCCCATTCAGTCTGTGGCCTCAATATGATGTGTTTGTTTTGTATCTTGATCTTACTACTCCCATTTTTTTTTCATGGACGGGGGGCATTTTGTGTGTGAAGAAAAAGTTCCTTTGCAGCCGGCCTGCAAAAAAAAAAAATAATAATGCACGCTTTCCTTTGAAGATTCGTGAACATCCTATTTCGTATTTTTTTCTGTTTGTCAAGATTGAGGACCCCCCCCCCCCCCCAACCACCCACCCTCGCTGCCTTTTCTAAAGCAACTCTCGCCATGTCAGGCACACATTTCGCACATGTAGCAGGTTGGCGAACGCATTTTTGTATTGCGTTGAGCAAAAAAGTGGAAAAACAATTACCGAAGGAATGAAAGTGCTTCAAACATGAATGCACTGAGCAGGAAATGATGATGAAGCAAACAGAAGGAATGCGACCGCTTATGGAATACCAATTTTGGCCACACTTTAGTTACGCTCGGGTTACACGTGGTGGAGTGTCGAGGCACGACTTGAAAGGGAGAAAGAAAGAAAGAAAGAAAAAAAAAAAGACAGGCGTGTACTAAAGCAAAGGAAAAAGGTACACAATCGGGGCAGGGGGAGGGGGGACAAGCGAAATAGTAACTGAACAAAGCCTGGGGAAGAAATCCAAAGTCCAAGTCACAAGAAACAGCCAAATAGTCGCGGGGACGCGGCGAGGACGACAAACGAGCCACGCAGCCAACAAGGAACAAAGCGAAATGGCCGCTAACAGGGATGGCCTGACTTGGTGCCGCTTCTCCATCTTTTCACGCGCAGCTTCAAAAACGAGTTGAACGGAGTCGCAACCTTTGCCGACTCCTTCAGCTTCAGTCCGGATCACGAGGTCCGAGCGGGACGGCAAATACGGGGCCGAACAGAGGAAAAGCACGGCGCGCGACCGCAGCCGCTTTGATGAACGACGGTCCGACGAGCCGAGTGACTGCTGGTTTCTCGAAAGGCCGACGCGTCAAGACAGGCCGTCGGGAAAACAAAAGCCACCCGCGTTTGCGGCTTCAGCGCTGTCCCCTGGGAATTGCGCCTGGCCCGCTCAGATAAGGACGCGCGGCTCCTTCGGCGTGCCCCCCCCCACCTCCCCTTTCGGAATCTGTCCTCATAAGCGGCCGCTCCCTCGCAAGCCCGCGTCAGAGCGGAGGCGCTCGCGGCCTCAGAGGTGAGCGTGAAGGGATGAAGAAAAACCAAGGTGCGCACTGGTCCAAATCGGCGGCTGAAAAATGCCGGCGGGCGCGGGAGAGCCGCCAAGTCGGCCTCTAATCCGCCGGCTCCATCCCCCGCCTGCAGCCGACGGCGAAGCTTAAGTAGCTCCTAATGGCCAAGACGCTTCCTTGCCCGCGAAGCCCGAGCCGAGGTGAGCGAGGGAGCCGCGATGTCACGAAGCGGGCCGAGCGGCCGTCAGAAAAATTGCCGCGTTTCGACTCCAAGGGGGACGCGGCGCTCGCCGCCGCCACGCCCTTTGCGTGCCGTACAATCAATTGAGCTTTCAAATGAAAACAAGAGCGATTCGTTTCACCGGCATGGGGGTCACGAGAGAAGGG